CTAAGCGCAAAGTGAGTTCGCGATCAAAAATTTTTTTCCTCCAGTCCCCTGCCTCCAACTCCTAGATATCTTAGATAAGAACATCCGCTAATCGAGATTGTGATTTCGTAGTCTGGCGGCCCTGTTGATACCAATGGCATCCCATCGCGATCTGAGGCGGGCACCCCTCCCCTCGGCTCGCATGGATACCGTCGCGCGTCGCGTAAGATGTCCCCGGGTCATTCGGATCGCTCCAACTCCCCCGTTTCCCGGACCGAGACACCTGGCTTTGGCTCGATGCACGCGCACAACTCGAATATCGCGCCGCAGCACATGTTCGACAGCGTTACCCTGGGCGACAGCATGAATGCCTCTAGCGGACTTCCCTCCCGGCAGATGCGCCAACCTTCTCCCTCGGCAGTCGACCGCCAACTCGATTCCCCCCACACATTTGAAAGCCTGCTGGCCCTCAACACATCTTTGAAGACACGCGTCAGTGAACTCGAGTTCGTCAACGAACTCTTCCGCGGCCGCGTCACGGAACTTGAGCAGAGTGATGCTAGCGCGCGTCGGTCGGAGATGATCGTACGAGACTCCGAGGTGCGTCTGAGACGATCTCTTGAGGATGCTCAGCGCCGTGAGGAGGACCTCAAGCGTCGTGTTAACGATCTTGAGCGTCAGCTTGGTTCTAGCAGCGCTGGCGACGCCGAGTCTGGCGAACCACTCGCAAAAAAGATCCGGCTTTCGGACGTTGTGGAATCTGGCGAGGATGTGTTGGTTAAATCTCCCAAGAGCGTTTAGGTCTTGCGGTACCCTACTATTTCTGGCTCTTTCCCATCTGCTTATTCATTCCATCATCGATCCACAGGCAGTACAAGCTTATAAGCTGCATTACGCTTGTTGGTCTCTTCCAACCTCTGATATTCTTGATACCCTTCATGGCTCCTTCGTCATCACTGGCTGGAACTTTACCCAAAAAAAGCTACTATTGGATGGTCTCAATTTCTCTTTCTTATGTCCGGATGTTCCCCAAACGTCTTGTTTTAATTTGCTTTCCTTGCGGTGTGCTGTATGAACTCTTTCACTATGCTTCTAATACAATACTTTATCCCCATCCTTCTCTTCTTCCAGAACCCAAGGATGTGGAAGATCGATGGATCGGTGATCTAACTGGGAAGTGTCTTGTCGTCTGGGTGTGTTTTTCCTGGGATGTTCTCCTCAATGTGCTAGTTGGTGCTTGCAATCATTATTATTCCTGTTTGTTGCTTTGATAGAGCAAGGCAACTGTTTTTGATTGTTTAGCCCAGCTTGGTGGTTCTACGCGCCGGGTTGTCTTTTGGTTGATTTAAACGAACGTTTTCGTTTTTTGTGTTGTGAAATCTACTGTATTAAGAGGGAAATGAACGCGTCTTGCAGAATCTTCGTCTATCAATCTTAAGAACTTGTTTGGCTGCAGCATGAAAGTGGAAAGGAACAACGAAGCATGTTATCTACTGCTTAGATCGAGCCCGAGGCTAGGGACTACTTGAATAACTTCAATAATACCGAGGCTCCAAATATACAGTAATGAAATTGACCAAGCTATGGCCTATGGAAATTACGTAGGATAATTCAAAGCAAGACGGACGCACGAAGTATCAAATCTATAAAGAAAACAGTGCATCATGGGTATACCAAATGTGGAAACCAGCCAAATAACATCCACCATGAGATGTACTCTATGAGAGGTCATAACAGATCGCAAAAAGGTCTAGGCAAATGTGCAAGCAAGAAAGCAATTCATAAGCCTATGCTTGCCATCCGGGTAGGACTGCACCTAGGTGATCCAAATTGACGGAAAAGAATCATAAAATTCACGCGAGTCGGTGGTCCAACTTCTTGCTCATGATGTTATTGATGTTCTTTTCGCGAATGATGGTCCATAGACAAACTGCGATGCCAAACAACCCGGAAATGAAAGTCAAAAAGTAGGCTGAGCGGTAGCAGCCCAGTCCATCGGGGCACTCGCGGTCGCCATCGTGGCCGACAACAGAGTGTGCGTCGTAGATATTACCGTATAGCAAATTGAAAACATTACCACTAAACACTGGCGCTAGTGTCATGACGCCCCAATTCTGGGATAGGCCGCCAATTCCGAAAGTGTGTGCGGTCAGGGAAGGGAAGACACCGAACAGGAAGCCGTAAGCGATTCCAGTGAAGCCGGAAACAACGACGAGGCTGTTCGGGTTGGAAATAGTGGTGCCGGCAAGCTGGGTCAGGGTGAAGACTACCGCCGATAGGAATAAACACCAGATACGGGACATGCCGAGCTTCTTGACTAGCAGGTCAGAGCCGATGCCGCTAAATAGACGGCCGAGGAAATTGCCAAAGGAAAGAATGGAGACGTGCATGACCTGGCGGTGTTGGATGAACATGTCCGTTGCGCTGTCGTCGTAGTATAGCCACAGAGCCTTCACGCTGTTGCCAATGTTGTTGATAGTCATCAAGCCGATACCGGACAATAGTCCCATGGTCAAAAAGAGCTGCCAGAACTCGACTTTGCGGAGCATGGCAAGACCTCTGATGTCGGTTTGGTGCGCCTCAATGGCCACTTCATCCAGGAAGTCATCATCAAGTGTATCAAAAGAGGGACGTGGGCGGTCGTGCTTGGATACCAAGGATGCGGTCTCGTCATTATTAGCGAATGCTCTACCTTGGGAGTTCGAGGCAACCGAGTGCGACCGCGCATGCGCAGGGTACTGCTCGTGATCATAAGCAGTGGAGCCATGTAGATCGGACTCCTCCGGCACGGGTTGGAGGTCACTGGAGTTGTTTCTTCTGGAGTCCCGTGCGTTGTGGGGTATAGACGAGTAGGGCTCGCTGGCGAGGATTCGAAGGAATGGAATTGCGGCGAAGGACAGAATTGAGGTTCCGAGGGCTAGAAGTAGAAGAAAGCGGCCAGTGTCGTCCTTGAAAACGAGAGTCGATAGATTCGACCAGAATAGCGCACTCAGTCCAAAGGCAGCCATTGGGAAAGCGGTTGCCGTGCCGCGGTGTTCGGGAAAGTTGGATGCCGCTAGAGCCATTAGGTTAACTATAGTATCGAATAGAGTTCTTGGTATAGTATGTATACCTGTTTTGATGGCACCGCCAAAGGCAGAACAACCGCCCATACCAGTAAGGAAAGCAAATAGGCATAGGAAGACAACCGGCATCGATCCTTGCCCATTATCATATGCTACAAACATTAGAGCTGCTCAATTCCGCAGAAGTAATATCAAGACATACCCATATAGATTGGGAAGTAACCCAGGCCCAGGCAAACAGAGCCGATTAACGAGACAAGTCGGGGACCGCGGGCATCTGTCAACAATCCCATTGGGATCCCCATAGCATACATCCCCAGGTTCCCCGCGACACCCTAGAGCTTGTTAATACTCGTTTCCTGCCACCGGATGTGGGGTAACTCACAATGAAATTGCTCTCGGTCGACGAGAGCTTCATTCGATGCGCAAATTGCGGCGCCCATGCGGAGTATGCATACTGACAGGGGAGTTAACCTTAACGGTCCTAAATGGGGATAAGATCGGAGATACCACGCACATTGGTTCCGCATGAGAGGGCGACCAGCGTCCCTGCAATGACGGAAATAACTCGGGCAGTTAGATGGAGAGAGCCGGACATGTTCCTCTCGCTCTTGATATCTTGTGCGATAGTGTTTTGGCGTGGTTGATTAGGCCCTGGACAGGTATGAGGCTACTAGGAGGAACATCGGATCTGAAAATGAAAAGAGCGAAAAGAGCGAATGAAGTTATAGAGGAATTGAGGAATATAAGGCCTAGGAGTTTTCAGGAGCGTACACTTAAGGACTTGGAGATGGATCACCCCCGGAGGCCGCGTGGTCGGAACAACCGTCAAGCAAGTGCCAAGAAAGTTTGCTCCACGTCAACTGATATGTAAATACGGATAGAAATTGATTTTGAAAGATTGAAATAAGAGGTAAAAAGAGAAAGGAATGGAATGTAGGGTACTACATATCTAAGGTCCTACGTTGCATTGATAATCAAGATTGTGTTCCGTATGAAAATGCGTCAAATCCTCCGAAATCGCACGAATCGTGAATCGTCATAGAGCCAAATGTCACGGATGTTTCTCCACGCGATAAGACCCATCTCCACTAAAAAAACGTAATGCCCTGGATGCCTTAAAACCTCAATGCCTGAGTTATAGCACGGGTTAAAACGGGGGATTCCAGTTTCGTCTAAAGTGGCTTATTCTGTCCCACAATATCAAAAGATATATAATGAAAGCCGTCTAGAAGGTGGAGATATATAATGAAAAAAAAAACAAGAAACACCCCCCCAGAAACACTAACTACATAAGGCCGTACAACTAACTGGCTATTGTAGTTACAATCAAAGTATAGATTTTTAAATATTGTAGGTTTCTGATTTTCTGCTTCAAGATAGTGATAGTTTTAATGAGGCATCGTTTTTTTTTGCAGGTAATATCACCACTATCCAGGACTCAAGTGTGATACTGAACTTGGAAGTATGCAAAAGATGTCGAGGAGAGCGGAGAGAGAGAGTCTAATCCTAAATTGGCAAAGAGGCTTGACACGTGATATATTTTGGACTTGGGGATATTACGTAACGCCATGACGGAGCCGGTCTCAGATGATCTTCAATCTGATCACTTGCCTCTCTCCACACTCTCATTGAATCTGAATCTTGATTCACTTTCAAGGTACATTATAGAAAACTGGGTTATCGAATACCTGCACTCCCAAGATGGGTGCCCTCCTTTCCATTCCCCTGTTGGCCGTGCCAAGTGTTGGTACAGTATGTTGTCGCCTATCTCCAGTTCACCCATACACTTGCACAGTTAGCTAATTGATTTTATTTCAGTTGTTGACAGTCGCAACATCATGCTGCGGAGCAGCGACATGCTCTGCAGTATGTAGTGCCTGCGGGAAATTTCAAAACAGGTACCATTCATCATTCACCTAGTGCGGAGAACCTCGGACTAACAAAGACAACAGTATGGCGACGAGAATCGCCTATGCCTTCATCCTTTTGATCAACTCCATCATATCCTGGATTATGCTCACACCATGGGCTCTGAAGAAATTACAACATCTGACACTGGATTATATGGAGATTCGATGCGACGGGAAGGAATGTCACGGCTGGGTCGCAGTCCATCGTATTAATTTCGCCCTCGGTCTCTTTCATTTGATCCTCGCTCTTTTGCTTCTCGGGGTTAAAAACTCGAAAGATACTCGCGCCGCTCTCCAGAATGGATACTGGGGCCCGAAAGTCATTCTCTGGGTGGCCTTTGTCGTCATGTCTTTCTTTATCCCCGAACCCTTCTTCTTTGTCTATGGCAACTATATCGCATTCTTCTGCGCAATGCTCTTTTTGCTTTTGGGTTTGATCCTTTTGGTGGATCTTGCGCACTCGTGGGCAGAGCTATGTCTGCAGAAAATTGAAGACAGTGACTCTCGGTTATGGCGCGGTCTGCTTATTGGATCCACCCTCGGCATGTATTTGGCATCTTTGGTCATGACCGTTCTGATGTACATCTTCTTCGCGAAAAGCGGTTGCTCTATGAACCAGGCTGCCATCACCGTATGTATCCCTCACACCACGAATCTGGTGCCCAAACTAACTTGTCACAGATTAACCTAGTCGTATTTTTGATCATCTCTTTCGTCTCTGTTCAACCAGCAGTGCAAGAATCAAATTCCCGCGCAGGACTAGCTCAAGCTGCAATGGTCACTGTCTACTGCACGTACCTCACCATGTCTGCCGTTTCGATGGAACCAGATGATAAACAGTGCAACCCCCTCGTCCGTTCCAACGGAGCAACCAGGACTGCAACGGTCGTTCTCGGTGCGATTGTTACTATGCTGACTATTGCATACACTACCACACGTGCTGCCACTCAAGGAATTGCCCTGGGATCGAAGGGCGGCCACGGCTACATCCAACTTGGTGCAGATGACAACGAACACGGATTGGTGACCCAACAACCGAACGTCCGTCGGGAGATGCGCGCCGAAGCTCTCCGGGCTGCTGTTGAGAGCGGCAGTCTTCCTGCCAGTGCCCTGGATGATAGTGATGACGAGGATGAGTATGACACCACGAAAGACGACGAGCGTGGTTCAACCCAATACAATTACTCGCTCTTCCACATCATCTTCTTCCTCGCCACGACATGGGTAGCTACTTTGTTAGTCCAGGGACTGACGGTGGATACCACGACAGATTTCGCACCAGTAGGCCGCACATACTGGGCCAGCTGGGTGAAGATCGTTAGCTCCTGGGTCTGCTATACTATCTATCTGTGGACTCTGATTGCGCCTGTTGTGCTGCCGGAGCGCTTCGGTGTTTATTAGTTTTCTTTATTGATTTTTGGGCGTTAAGAGCGAGATTGTTGCTCCTGATTTGTCCGTTTTGGTTTATATCCATAATTACAGTGTTATGAAAATTCCAATTCCGCAAATAAATATGTCCACATTGTACGCAAACAACAAGTCCTTGGGTAAAGTAGAACAGGGGCGTCATCGAATAATGAGTATAGAGCTGTATTCTAACGGCCCACTGCGGGCTTGGCAAAACCACGCGTTAAGTGAGACGCGTGCCAACTTATCCTCCAACAGACATCATGGGATGAAGATGGCGACAATACAAGCCATCGAGGCCCGCTCTGTATGGAATTCGATGTTTCCCCGCCACGCCCCGATCTAACCAGCGCATTGATTAGGTGCACCAAATTCAATCGGGTCAAGTCATCGTTGACTTGTGCTCCGTCGCCAAAGAGCTTGTTGAAAACAGTCTGGATGCCGGCGCAACGACGATCGGTGGGTGAATAGCTTTCTAGTTATGGTTCGTGATGCATTTTCTAATAATTTCGTGGGTTTCAGAGATCCGATTCAAGAATAATGGGCTGGACCTAATTGAGGTCCAAGATAACGGCAGCGGGATCTCCCCAGAGAACTATGAGAACGTCGGTGGGTTCTCGCCTCTTTCTGCGTACATTGCACTCAAGCTGACTCTCTGTTTCTCTTAGCTTTGAAGCATTATACCTCCAAATTATCGTCATACGATGACCTCTCAAGCCTGCACACCTTCGGTTTCCGAGGCGAGGCGATATCCTCACTCTGTGCGTTGGCCGACTTCCACATCGTTACAGCACAAGACAAGCAAGTTCCCCGCGCGAATAGACTTGATTTTGAGCAATCCGGGAAACTCCAGAAGACACAGATCGTGGCTGGGCAGAAAGGAACGACTGCATCGGTAGAAGGCATCTTCAAGCGGCTCCCGGTACGTCGGCGGGAACTGGAGAAGAATATCAAGCGCGAATACGGGAAGGTTTTGAATCTGCTCCATGCCTATGCATGCATTAGCATCGGGGTCCGGTTCAGCGTCAGGAACACTGTTGGCAAGACACGGAACGTGGTGGTCTTTTCTACAAATGGAAATAAGACTACTAAGGAGAATATTGCCAATGTGTATGGTGCGAAGACATTATCCGCTCTGATATCCCTTGATCTAGAGCTGGAGTTTGAGCCTGCGGCAGCTACCAAACGGGCTGGCGATGAACAACTGAGCAAAATTCAAGTGCGAGGCCATATCTCGCGTCCTGTATTCGGCGAGGGTCGTCAGACTCCAGATCGTCAGATGTTCTTTGTCAACTCGCGGCCATGTGGTCTGCCCCAGATTCAGAAGGCGTTCAATGAGGTTTACAAGTCGTTCAATGTCTCACAGTCTGCGTTCATATTTGCAGACTTTCAGATGGATACAAACGCTTATGATGTCAATGTGTCACCCGATAAGCGCCAGATTCTGCTTCATGACGCGGGGGCAATGATTGAATCGCTCAAAGTTTCTCTTACGCAACTCTTTGAGGATGCAGACCAAAGTGTACCGCAGTCAGCGGTCAAATCCAGGCCTTTGCCCAAACAGCAACCATTAGCATCGCTTCCAGGGTTCACCACTGCTCGGGAACTGAGCGAAAGCAGTGGATTCAGAAGTTCAAGTCAAGATCAGACGAAAGAGAAGGTGGTTGAGAGCCCCGGGAAAAGTCAACAGAGCATGATCCCGCGCCTCGCGAGCTCGCAAGGGGGCACGGGAAGGGCTCAAGCCACGCCATCTCCGGCTCGATCAATAAGAACACCCCGTGCTGCGACCAGTCGCTCTTCGATGTCGACGCCAGCCCCAAGTGAGCTAGAAGCGTCTGTTGCGGGGATTTCTGACGACGAGCTTTTCGTCCAAACAGCCGCCCAAGAGGAACCCGAGCCGACCCATATATTACGCGAACCCTCATCCCAGCCATCACCTCCTGACGAGACTCCCTCTCGTGCTCGTGGAGATCCAGAAGAAATTCCCAACATTGTCCAAAATGCCTTCGATAGAATGCGTCCTCGAAGGGAGCCCGCCGAACTGGCTACTATAACTATTGGCAATCGAACTATAACCTCCATGGTCGGTAGTGGTCCTCCACGGAAGCGATTATCGGAAGATCCACCTCTAATGAGAGAGCCACCTCGGCGGAAGAGACGGATACACACACCATCACGGCCTAATATTTTTGGCGAACACATGAAAGCGTTTGCTGCTCCTGGATCACAACTGGATGAAGATAAAAACGAAGATGAAGATGAAGAGGCCTCTGCTAGTGAAGGTGACCAGATTGAAGAAGATGAAAATAACCTCTCAAGTGAAGTCGAGGACACACAAGGCACTGAGCAAGAGCCCGAAGCCGAGGGTTCACCCCTGCCCGAGAATGGCGGCTATGTTCCCGACCTAGCTGCAGCTCAATCAGAAATCGAAAACACCGAGGCAATAGACAAAGACACCGCCGCAGATGACAATCTCGACGAAGCTCAGAAGAAGGCACAGGAAGAAGCTATAGTCCAACGGCTCATTCATGAGGCCGAGGAAACTGCTTTGCTTACTCAAGACAACAGCACAAACCGTGCAAAGAAGATGAATAAGGGCGCTGCGCATCGCGACGCAACTACACAGCTTGTCGGCACGGTAGACGGGTCTATTCGACGTCTCCAATCTCAACTCATCACATTGCAAAAAACACTGCAAGCAGGCAACAAGATAACCACAGAGGAAGCCGCTGACCTTGGCGAGAAAACCGCCGAGGACAAACTTTCCTTGACTGTAAGCAAGAACGATTTCGCCCAAATGCGCATCATCGGCCAGTTTAACCTGGGCTTCATCATCGCAGTTCGCCCAGGAGAAGACCACGATGAACTCTTCATCATTGACCAGCATGCCTCTGATGAAAAATTCAACTTCGAGCGCCTGCAGGCTGAAACCGTGGTTCAAAATCAACGACTTGTCCGTCCACAACGCCTCGATCTGACTGCCGTTGAAGAAGAGGTTGTCCTTGAGAATAGGGCCGCTCTTGAGAAAAACGGCTTCCTCGTGACTGTCGACGAAAGCGGCGATGAACCTATCGGTCGTCGATGTCAGCTGGTCTCGTTGCCGCTGAGCAGGGAAGTGGTATTCGGCGTACGCGATCTGGAGGAACTGATCGTGTTGCTGTCGGAGTCAATTTCAACGTCGAATGGACTGTCAGTACCACGGCCAAGCAAAGTGCGCAAAATGTTTGCTATGCGCGCTTGTCGCTCAAGTATCATGATCGGGAAGACCCTGACAAACCGCCAAATGGAGCGAGTTGTTCAGAACATGGGTACTATCGATAAACCTTGGAATTGCCCCCATGGCCGACCGACGATGCGGCACTTGATGAGTCTGAGCCAGTGGGATGAATGGAATGAATTTGAGGAACCTGAAGGACTCGACCCTTGGAAACAATACTTGGAAGGAGAAGAAGATGAGGATGAAGAATAGTCCATAACGATACCCTGTGGGTGATATAGATGTATAACAAGAACAACCCAAATGAACAAAGATATGAACCATCACCACCATCGCAACCACCCTTTCGCCGGCTGATCCACTTTCTTCCCATTGGCATCTATATCAACATGACCATTTGCGTTTCCATTCTCAATATCCCCATTCAGTTCCATATCACGGTCATCCTCACTCCCATGTTCCCCATGGCCTTTTTCAACATTATCCATCATATCCTCTAAGGCCAGCAAATCCCGCTCAATCATCTCAGCCCAATTCTGCACATCCCCAATCTCCTTTAATCCCTCACGCGTCTCATCCGCGAATCCCACCCACTGCTGATTTTGCCGCGCAAGTCGCTGCGTATTCTCTGCTAGCTCGGCTTCTTGCCTTTCTAGCGCCACCGCATTGGATTGGATGTTTGCTGCGCGGTCGCGGAGTGGCGCTTCAAGGTTCGTCCCAACCGAGTGCAGGGTTGCGGTAAAGGCTGCCAGCGCTTCTTTTTGTCGTTGGTCGTCTGTTGTGTTTGGGGTTGGGTCTGCGATTGGATTTGGGGTTGAGTTTGGGTTCGGTTGCGGGGTGGAGTTGTCCATGGTTCTTGTTTTATTTTGGTTCGGGTCTTGGATTTGTAAATATGATCTTTGGCGAGATGATATAGGATCTATAGGTATATCTTTGGATCTCGGGTTACTGATATAAGAAAGCCGTACAACAAAACAAAAGATCGACAACCCCACCCGGCACATGTCATCTCTATTAGCATCTGTTCCCCGCCCTAAGTAATGGATGTTTGTCGATCAGTGTGTCTGATCGCGCTGTGTTTATCTTGAAGACTAGAACATTCGGTCCTTTTGTTTTACTTGGCTTGTGGAAAGGGAATATAACAGAGATATTTTCAAATAGGGGTATGTTAGCTTAGTCATGTAAATAAAGGCCCCGGATATCGTCCCCTGCACACGATCTAGACTACGGGAGGACTGAACAAACTATTAAGGAAAATTCTTGAAAAGACTCCATACTCAAAAGAGATAAACGACACACTACGAACTCTTACGGTCTTACGGTCTTATGGTAGAGACTACCACCTAATCAGAGTGCCATAATCCGAAAGTATGCTTTTATCAATGTAATATGAGAGGTATCGCATATAGGACGCCTATAGAAAGCACAATAGACAAACTGCAGGTTCATATGTCAGTAAAGTCCTACTCTGAGAGACGTGCACAAAGTGAGTTCTTGACGTTGATGCTGTTCACATTGGCAGAGTGCCACGCAATCCTCGTGAACTCAGAGCTAGACATACCCGCACATATAGTGAGTCTAGGAAACTAAACCATAGTTGGAAAAGATGCCAGAAGCGGGTCGCTTAACTAATGAACACCCGTGGACTACCTAGGTACGTATAAAGCTTACAGTAACTAGACATAAGTTTTTGCACCCCTTAGCCCCACCCATTTCACCACCAATACTTAGGTACCTTCCAAGGTTCCTGAAACAGTACACTTGGAAGCTCTCGTAGAATATTATGTAATTTATGGTACATCCATCCCTGGATGGAATGGTACATAGGTACCTAGTGTTCGCCGGCGGCGGGTATGCGGGATCACCATCCGCTTCTCGCATATAGTTGAAATGGATATGATATGAGTTCGAGTAATAGGTATTCATATCAAGCCAAGATTGGCTAAAAAAATTGTGTTCGATCGGATGATCCTCATTTACATCCCGCTGTCCCGTGGCCCGGTCTTCCCAGAGAGACCCTGGCTTCTGTTCATTTCCATACGTCCAAAACGAAGTAAATCCGATCGAACCCCAACACCACATCCCAGGATACATAGCTCTTTACGTAAACAGGCGGTATTCCGGCAATATTCTCAACACAAGTAGACTCTTCTATCTCAATGGACGAGGAATATGGGAGGTATATTTCATTCATCATTCAACACCTAGCTAGGCTGCCACGACAGCTCGTGAAGGGACATACAACATACATGCCACAAACATGAATGCATGCCACAAGACTCTTTTTGACAGTTATGCCGTTGCCATTTATTAATGATAATCAATTGCTATGTAGTGCGCAGAGTGCACCTTTTTCTGTATCTAATTAATTATAATGTTTTTGAAATAATACCATATTGAATATTGGTGGCATGCATACATTAGCGTCCCTTTTCACACGAGCTATCGCGGCAGGGTTATGTGTATAGGAAACAGGACCCTGAAGTGCTGGTTAATAGATGTGTACCCTGTTATAATCGCTATAACGCAATATTAAACAACCTGGCGAGGTTGAGAGCAAAAAAAGAAAATCAAAAATTAGTACCTTGAACTCTAATCCCAATTAGGTCTAGTAGTATTATAAAAATAATCTATTATTTTGCATTGTTCCGAATTAGGCAATGTAGTTTCTTTGTTCTCTTTATTTTATTTTTTATTTTTTTTGTCACGCTCAGGGTAGTTACGTCCTAATTAGGTAGTCGCACCTTCCGCAAGAACTTCAGCTGTCGCAGGGTCCCCTATAAAAGCCCCCTTCCCTCAGACTTTTCGAACTTCCTCTTGTCAACCACCTCTTGTCACAAGCTTCCTGGATCTAATCTGGTATGGCTTCCCTGACTCGAGCAGTGATACAGGTGAGCATCCACACTCTCTCCCCAATCAAGATATTATATGTCCATGAACCTTTCTGACAATTTGACAGCCTTAGTAGACGTGCGGGGAACCCTTCGGGGTCTCCTAAATATCGAACAGGTTGGGTATGTACTCCCACCCACAAGCTTTTGACATGTCTAACTCATGCTTTTTCTGATTAGGTCCTTCGTTGGGAAACCGAGATCGGGGTCCCCGATAAGCCTCGGCGACATGGTTGTATGTTCTCCTGCCAGTATCAATATTGTCTCTATCGCTGACTCGTCACCTCTCAGGACCTTCGTTGGGTGGTGCCAAAGTTGTACCTGCACTGAGCATGGAAGGTCTTTGACTGAACTGTCAGCCTTGGTGATGTGGGGTGAGTTCTCCAGCCAGTGGCATTTTACCAATTCTAACCCCATTCTTCTTGAAACAGAATTCGTTGTCGCCAACGCCCGGACCAAGTCGGCTCTCTTTGGAGGCACGTTGTGTCTTCGGAGGTACGTTGTGCTGTAAACCTTGGGGAGGCAGATGGGATCTAAGGCCCATCAATCTACGAGGGGGGGACAGCCCGACCCGGAATGGGTCGCATTGCAACCAATACGGCTTGTCATTTTCGTTTGTCGCGGCATATCCAGGACGCAAGTCCAGGTAAGTTTTTTTCCCGCATGTGGTTTCTTATCATTTCTAACATGTCTTCTCTCATCAGAACCTTCGTGGGAAGACCTGAAGTCGGACTGGATATGCACAATCCAGTCTTCGCGGGTCCGGCTAAATTCCAGGTGAGTCTCCTACCAGTCTATATGTTTTTGTTGCTAACTTGAGGTTATTGTTGATCAGTGCATTCGACGGAGTTTTGGCATTACACACTGTGTGATGTCCCTTGCAGATGGCCATGCAATCCCGCTTTTTTTTGAAAAAGCGAAGAAACAAGTTGGAGCTCCAAACCTTATGGTTTACTTGTTTGCCCTCGGGGGGGCCTTTTCAGTGGGCAGTGGGATTTCAGGTCAATAAGAGAGCTATTGTTCTCTTGCATGGGTACATGATCCGAAGAGATCACACTCTCGGATCAGTGCACGTTGCAGGGCCTTACAGCAAAATCCATTACATCTCTGATCGGAGTGGGCTGGGTATACATTGCATTATTCGCCTGCTATGCTCTTGGTCAGTGATGTACCTGGAAACATTTCATTCCAATCAAGCAAGATTGGTCGTAGGTTTCGTAGTATCTATCTTTGAATTCAAGAGACTTTTGCTATTGCATCATACCTTCTACACTAGTTACATCTTCGGTCTCTTGGCTATAGCTATTTGTGGGTGATTAGGAAGAAAAATGAGAAGCGCTTGAATATTTGATACAGAGTAAATCGCTTCTCTATAGCTTTTGCCCTTTCTTCTCTTCTAATCTCACTTTCACGTTCTCTTGGCTTCGCAAGAAATAATCCTGTGTAGCACTTTCAACCTGATAACGAGTATAGTGCCAAGGCACTTGCCACACAAGAAGCAACCTGGCTTCCTCAGCTGCTCATCGATTTGGTTATCTTGGGCTTTCTTGAAAAGCCAACCCCGATATATGCTGACAACAACGGTGCTATTGCCTTAGCATCTAACCCAGAATTCCGTGCGAAGACCAAGCACATTGTAATTTGCTTAGATTGCCCTCAAGTCTATATTGTACGTTTTGTTCATATACCTACTGCTGAAGTGGTGACCGATAGAAGGACCACGACCATGGTCAACTTCTACAAAGAATACAGAATACAGTGAATAAGGATCTGTGAAATCTAAATCTATATTCTGATAAATTCTAAGAACATATAAACATAAAACAGAGACAAGAAGAACCCAGAGGACATAGTTTGCACAACTTCAGTCTTATACCTCGATGTGTGCAGTCTCACTCATTGGCTTTTCGCTCCTCTCGGTGTTCAAAGTTCGGTGGTGGCCAGGGTGGACCGGGTATCCTCTGGTCTCCCAAACGCCTCCGGTGATTCCACCTCTCGAGAAGAGGTGATCAACATCCTCCAGTTCCAGTCCTTTAGTCTCGGGGAAGAAGAAAAAGACCATTGGAATCTTGTTCGGTCAGTATCGTAAAGATAACAATTGGGTCCAGAATGAGGGTCATACCCAGGCAAAACAGAAGCAGGCGAAGATGATAAAAGTTTTCCATCCGATATTATCAATTGCCGTCGGTGTAATTTGGACAACAATAACTTCGAGGATTAGCGAAGTCGCTTCCCATAGGGACTAGTCAACTTACAAACACAAATCCAATTGACAAAGCCACCAAAAGCCTGAGCTCTGGCTCGGATCCGGGTAGTCGATATTTCAGAAGGGTAAAACCTGTTGATTATTAGCAGTGGCACACAATCACAAGCAAGATAAAAAAAACTAACCAGGGAACTGGGAGATACCCAACGCCAAGGAACAATTGGAATATAAAAACAAACACGGTAGCTGCATATGCACATGACTCAGTGCCAATCGACAATAGAATAGCAGTCATCACGAAACAGAAACAGAGACCAGCGGCGGAGAACATGAGTGATGCCCGTCGGCCGAATTTATCCATACTCCACAGGGGGATAACAGAGCCGACAAGGTAGGCGAGAGAGGTGCAGCCGCCGAGAACTAAGGATAGGTTGCGAGATAGATTCATTGCATTCTGTTGTGGAAGTGCTATTAGTTCACTTGTTCACCTAGAGATGGAAATGGGAGCATACCTGGTAGACAATAGGGGCATAGTAGTTGATCATATTAGAGCCTAGGACATGTCAATATGCTAATCTTCTACAGCACCTGAACTGGTATTTTTCACCTGTGAACTGTTGTTGAATATTGACAACAGCAGCCAAGATCATGCGTCGAAGATTCCCCATCGGGCCACCCGACCAGAGCTCCTTGTACTTGAAGGGTCCGCCAGCAGACTCAATCTCGATAGACGATTCGATTTGGTGGCGTAGAAGAACGACTTCAGGACTCGACTCATCAGCAGGCTGCTCTAGTTGTAGACGTGCCAGAACGGACGCTGCCTCGTCACTGCGATCTTGTTCACAGAGCCAGCGTGGAGAATCAGGCAGGGGGATCATCTGCAAAACTAAGAAGATGGCAAAGAAAGCCTGGAAACTGATTGGGAACCGCCACTGAACGGGGGTATCCACGAAGCTCAGTCCATAGTCCAACCAGTATGCGATGCAGAGACCGAGAATTGTAACAGTGCCTTGGGCGGATAGCAACATGCCTCGCTGCTCTGGGCGAGCTAGCTCCGATTGGTATGCCGGGACGGTACTGCTGTTGATTCCATTGCCAAGGCCGGTGACGATTCGGCCAACGAGGAATTGAGGAATGGTAAAGGAAGTGCCGAGGATGATTGTTCCTATGATCATGATTGAACCACCGGCGATGATCATCTTGCGGCGACCGTATTTGTGACCAATGACGAGACTGAGGAGGCAGCCTACTGCACAGCCGATATCGTAGATGGAAGTAAGGAGACCCTGCATCGTGCTGTCGGGGTTGTTGAATGTTTGTCCAAATTGATTGTTCGCGCCAATCAGGCCGCTCATAACGCCCTGATCATATCCCAGAAGAAGGAAGGCTTGACAGCTTGCTGCTGTCACAGCCCAGTGTAGGTATTTTCCGCGTAGAACCATAATGTGTTTTGGTCGGGGAAACTGGAGAGAAGTTGGGGCCCCAGGTCCTTTTCTCCACGCTTTCAACCATCTCAACTCAACTCCATAGCATGTCGGTTCACTCTTCCCCGAGAAGCCTTGGCTGTTCGGTTTAATACAGTCCGGGACTAGTAATGTTCACCTTCGGGACGAAATAAGACTAGCGCATACGTTTCCCCGCGGGGACTTCCCCACACTGACGAATTTCATGAGACTCCAACTTTAGAAGCGCGGGTTAGACAGTCTTAACCTTGGAAAAGCGCCATTAACGCCTTTGATACCCTGAGCTCACATATTGGAAACTCACTTTCATGCTTTGGGCTCCAGCTCTGAAACAAAACCATTGATCGTGTTTTTTTTTTATAGAACAGATTACATTACCGCGTACGTAAATTTTCTGCAAGTAGCGAGCCACCTCAGTGGATCGTTGGATATGCTTGAAAGGAACCAATATTTATTATACCTAATTGTGCAGGATAAATAGCCAAGCTGGCCTGAAGGATATGTATCCCTGAGAGGCTGAGACGTTTGTACTGATTTTAAACGCAAATCTCCTTTAACATCTAAGAGTATACCTAGTTTCCTGAGCTTAAAAAGGACAGCCTGCCGACGTTGTGGGTCTTACTGGTCATAGTCCTTACCAAACCGAAGATATCAAGGTCTATGGATAACTGCTACTACGAAAGATTCTAGCATGTTCGAGTATAAAAATTCCTCGTTACATAAGCTGGCCTATACTAAAGATCTGAGTATCGACTCACAGCCCCAATCTGACGAGTAATCCAATGCCGATCAAAATATCGGGGCATAATATTGTCCTTGAGCGTAATCAAGTGTTCTTCAAGCTTATGAGTCTTCTCGAGAAACCTAGAATTGTACCCGTAATAGCCGCGTGAATCAAGTACGGTACGACATCTTGGCATCTCCCTACACATAGCGGGACTAGCCCGCTCAAGGACACGTACCTCTTCAATAAGATCCGTGAGGTTGTCAACTGCCAGCGCCAGTCGGAGAGGCGAAATATTCTTCCGAGCCATGATAGCGTCAATTTCGTGCTGTAGGTCAGCCTTGAACTGAGTACGTATGCGTAGAAACTGCTGCTCGGGGTTCCTCTTCCGGGAAAACATGGTGCTAAGTCAGTAAGCTACAACAAACCTGAGTAACGGGGGAGATTCTGTGAGGTTAGTTGGCAGTATCAGTGAAGATGCACTTGACACAGATGGTTTGAATGAATCAGAATGATGACGACTTTGGGGAAGAGGGTGGGACCGAGTCTATTTATGCAATTTCCCTTGAGTGGAAACAATTATTAGAGTTAGAAGAAGATAATGCCGTAGAAGAAACAAAGACACAAAGACTCACTTGGGTTCTTTACTTCTTTTAGGGGGCCATTTCATATGGATTGAACAGGGATAGGCTTGATAAAGAATTAGTAATGACAACTGTACCACTGGAGTTGAGTCAGTGAATGGGATTGTTGAATTATTGGAAGACAAAGGAGTTTCATCAGTGAACAACAAGCAAAGTGGAAGATCAGCACATCTGTTTCCTGTTTTTACGGATTTATGGGCTAGTTACAACTGCTATCTTTCTGTCACTTGCGGTGAGAATGTGCCTATTTTCGAAGTATATATTCGAACGGTTCTATTCATAGTCTAGGCGCATAGCACGATCTCCCATAAGTACTCACGATCATATATATACTACATCAAGAAAACAAACTTGATGCGTATTGTAATATATCGATTCTTGCCGATGCAGACACAGCCTTGATGGCGGCTGTGAAGTAAGGGATATCGACACCCTTGAAAGAACAGCTTCTCCCATGAACATCGATAGTCACAGTGCCAATTTCATCGTCACCCGAAATGGCCTCGTGAATCAACATTTCTTTATCAACCGAGCCGAGTACCACAGTGTTGCTGATGGTCTTTTCCAGACGCAGATAGGGCAAATCGACCCATCCCAAGTCCGAACCACCCATGGTGAGATTGAAAGTCACATGTCCCTGAACATGTTAGTCGATAAATATACCCTATGTACGGAATGCATTGATATACCATCTCAACTATGAACGGACTCGGATTGCGCACGGAGATTGTGGCATTGAAATTGTATCCATCAACTGGAGGGTCCAGCAACTCTAGACTGGTGACGTTAAATGCTCCCTCGGCATTGATAAAGTCTGCGAATGTTAGAAATATTTACCCCCAGTGGCAATTTATCAGGGCAAATCTCACCTGTGACATTATAACCTAATATTGTCAGCTTGTTTCATCGATGTGATCGGAAATGTATACTCACCACCCACGTCCATTATTTTATGAATGGTCAAATGAGCGGTTGGCAGTGATCCAAATTTCAAATCTGGCGAACCTTCAACCAAAATAGAAGAGCTCTTGTTAGATCCAGCTGCAGAGGCCAATCGCGACAGACAGTCGACACACGACAAATCCAAATCTTGGTCTATTTCAAGGGCGGCGCCGTTTCCAAATGCAATATTAGGCACTTGGAAGACTGTAAAAACTTCGTCAGTGTCTTCGAGACGACATGTGGCATTGAACGCATTCATATGACCACTACCACTAAATCCACCCATTTGAAGGCTTTGCTTTTGTTTGACATGGAAGGCGGTTGGCCGGGGGTTGGTAATCTCGAGGCCATCGTAATCATACTCATACTTGTTGATATAATCGTTCGCGAAATTGGGAATCCCGACATAAAAGCTGAGAAATTATTAGTATAAAAAATTATAATCTTTTATGATAAAACTCACAGTGGGAGAATGATGACTAGGACAGAGATGCAGAATGCGATCAAGTATGCCCACCAGAACCTCTTCATATGTGACTTGAAGCGGCTCCATAAGGTCGACTTTTCTGGGGCCGGTAGCGCCTCATCTGCCTCGGAACTACTTGAGATGTCAGATTTTGACATGATAGATGCAACAATGTTGATGAGTGCTAGAATATTTGCTTTTATCCTAGGTCGTGGACGGTGAAAGTCCAGTAGATGGCAGTGTGACAACTGCTTCCCATGCTGTAGCGTACGGTGTTGTAGTAGAGAAGAGCCAAATATGGGGTGTGAGTGAAGGAACTCCATAAGCTAGTCGTCGCTTCGGGTTTTGGTATACCCCATGTCGATCAGACCCGCCTTTCACATGATAGCGAGATGTGCACAGCAATTATTCTAAACGAGAATATTTTTGCGCAAACTCGCCAACTGACGTCATAAGTATTTCGTCCAGCATCAACTAAAGTTGCTTCATTGCGAGTTTGGGAACTAAATTTCGGTATATAAATGTGTGAAGACGAGGCTCAAAGCAAAGTGCTTGTGTTGGAAAAGTAGTCCAAGCGACCAATCAAGACCTTCAATAGCTAACCAGTTTGGCTTAAAAGTGGGTCAAGTGCCTCATACTCCTCGTATAGGATACGTGATCAGCACGATGGCGTTTGATAAATTGCAGATCGTGCACTTGGTAGAATGATCGACGAGACAGGCCTCGGCTGTGGATTAAACGACCTGCAAAGATGAATCTGGGGATTTAAGCGAGTTATAGTTATATATATGTTGTAGTGTCAAGAGTAAAAGGTGGAAGCTTCATCTTGAACAGCGATGATCGAACTACAACATATGTACATAGTTTCTGGAGGCTATTTATTATGACGACATGACTCATGTTCATTTGCTAAAGAAATATCTCATTGAGTAGGCTATTGTTGCTTCTCCAAGTAGAAATCAAAAGCATAGCAGATTACCTTAAATTCTAACTCCTCAAGAGCGGTATGGATTCAATGGTCGGTTTTATTGCGGCCAAGTATGCAAGTCAGTCATCAACCTATACTGGATACTCCGGTAACTGAAATGCCTATTACCCTTGGGCTAGTTTTGGTATAGCAAGCGTAGGCAACTGAAATGGACTGAATACAAATATATAACTTGGCCCTCCTTTTCTATTATTGGATGATCCCATTCCTACTGTGGTTAATTCCATTTTAAACTGAGATCTATGTGGTTTGCTGGTTTGTTTGCTAAATATACAGGGAATAAATATCCTGCTAGTCCATAGATCTTACAATCAAGAACTCTCCCTCTTCCTCATCTCTCTCTACATTCACAACAAAAAGTTTGTCGAGTTCCACCGCACACACAGCACAAGCGGATTCACCATTGAACTTGCTTGGATAGTCGAAAGCGATGATCAACGATGAATACTGACGGCCACATGGGGACCATGAAGACTGCATGTCACACCCTGCGAAACCGGATGACTATCCCTAGTTATTGATCGTATCATGCTCGAATGCCAGGTCGATCCGTTCAGTGAAGATTGGGCGGTCATCGCCCTTGTGTGGTCTGCCCGTGTTGGTCGTTGATCATCGCTTCCGACACATCCAAGCAGGTGCAACTATGATTTAGATTCTTAACAAAGGATATTATAACTACATGTATAGAGGAAATGAAGTATATCAAAGAGATATACTTGGGTAGCCTAAAACTGGCACTACCTCTCTTGGTATATTCTCAGGGGGTTTTTTTTTCATGTCTCTTTTCGTGTCTCTTTCGATGTCCTTGATGACACTGTCTCATATTCTCTGCTATCTCCTAGTCGGTATAACATAAATAACAGACGCAAATTAAAATTCGACATTTTAGAATTAGATTTTTATAATCACGGTCGTTCAAACCTCCCGAAAAACTGACGTAATGCTTCTAGCAACTCGGCAGGGATAGGTTGCCCGGTCGGCGCTAGTGTAGGCTGTAAGATATATTCTCACCTCGTGTTTGGAAGCAGTAGGTAAGATGCAGCATAGAAGGCCGTGATGCCTAGGAGGGTGCGACCAAAGCATTCCAAATTTGCAAAGGCAGAAACGGTAGTGGCGTTGACGTTGTTATGGCTCGGCGGAGGCCCCGTCTCAGGTGTCTCAGGTGTTTCCGGCGGAGGAAAGCCCGAGCCTGCCCCCGGTGTGTTTGAGGATTTATTTGTATGCTTGGAAGATTTGCTGAACCAAGTAAATAGTCGTTAAATCCGGGAGCTTTCTGCGTCTATTTTTCTCTTCTCCCAGAAAGAAGTAATCCATGGGTACGGAGTACTAATCTCCATGTTTGGGTCTTTCCACGTGGCTGAACCCGTGGCGTCAACCCCTCCACGCGTGAACCCCGGGTTTGCTGATGTCAGCAATGAATTTAAAATTTCCTCTCTGGGGCGTTATAACCCTTTTTGGCGTCTGATATATGAGTGTCGCTCACGGGCGTTGAACTCTGCTCCGTACTGGGTGTGGAACCCTATAAATAAGCACGGGAAAGAATCTGACAAAGTGGGGTGCTGGTGTAAGATTTTGTCTACAACCAACTGGTTACAGCTACAATGCAAAAGTATACTCCATATAACTAGACAGTAGTGATAAATATCAAGTTTTATCTCATACAACATATGGAAATTCGAAAATCTCTACCATTCCAGTCCTCGGGCGAAAGGTGGAACATAGATCGGCCCGGCCCGCGAGGAAGCTGTGATTTTCTAGCAGATTCGAGCCAGTAATTGTTATCGATAGAATCTCAATATCCAGAGCAACCTGGAAGAGTAAAGTCTCTTGAAGTGTATCAAAGACAGACAAACGAGGAATATGGAATCATATTTGGGGGCCAAAATTAAATATATTAAGGAGGGAAAAAAAAAGCGCAGAAACCTAAAAAAGAAAGTGCAAAAAGATCCATGGATCTAGACCAACAGGATAACGCTAACTAGAAATGGCATAGAACGCGGTGTTAAGAGTCTGAGTTGTCCACGGGTCCTTTTAGACATTCCCTTTGTTTTCTTCTTTCTTTCTGTCATGCTCCCATATTCAGTTTCATTCAAAGACCACCGGTCGCTGTCACATCCGAGGCCCAAAGCCAAAACACGACGAAAAAGCATGCTTTTGCGGACCTCCCAGTTCATTATCGCGGTAGTAGCCGGGTGGTTGATAATATCATTTCTGCTCTTTAGGTCACAAGCTCCAGACCCAAGTGTGCAATCGACTTCCTCAGTCAACACAGATACGGAGTCGGAACATGATTCTATTTCGCAAGAGACGCCCGATGAAAACTCCATTGCGGAAATTCCAAAGTTGCAAGAAATTGTAGAAGACCAGCCAAATAACACCGAAACCAACACCAATCTAGAGTATCTAGAACCTGATCTTTTTGACGCCTCTCTTGACTACATTCTATCGATAATTCCCAACGAAATATACCGTCGAGAGCTCTTGCGGCCAGTAGTCGGCACGGGCGAGGCAAAACTGCACGAGCTCGGTTTGCGCACACGCGCATATAAACAATTCTTCGAGGCTTGGGAGGATGTCCACCTCGTCAAAAGCGACGATAATCACACCTACGTACGGGACGATATTGTCCCCTACTTGCGCGACAAGTTCAGCGAGCCGACCTTCTCCGACGCGCTGCACAAATACGAATCTTACCGCCAATTCCTCGCCAAATTCTCCGCGCTGCTGTTTCCGTGGACGAGTCCATACTTTGCAGATCATATGAGCATGCACGCTTCTTTGCGTCATGGAGGCCGCGGTATTGTAACGACAGCGGGAAATGGACAGGCGCATTTTTTACTGGCTGCCATTCCTTCTTTTCGTCTCTTGGGCTGCGATCTTCCCGTCGAGGTCATGTATCTTGGCGAAAACGATTTGAGCGAGGACTTCCGGACTCAGCTTGAGGCGCTACCAGGCGTCACAACGCGTGACCTCTCTACACTAGTTAACGATAAAGGTTGGCAACTCAACGGATGGGCTGGGAAACCCTTTGCCATTCTCTTCTCATCTTTCCGCGAAGTCTTGTTCATCGACGCCGACTCGCTGTTCTTCGTTAACCCCGAATCACTATTTGATGACGAGGAGTACGTGCGTACGGGTGCCCTTTTCTTCAGAGATAGAAATATCATTCCAGAGAGTAAGAAAGAATGGTTGCAGCAGATCTTGCCGAAGCCGATTTCACCAGCTGTGCAACATACCAGAATGTGGACCGGGGAGAGCGCGCATGTACAAGAGTCGGGAGTCATTGTTGTGGATAAGTGGATGCACTTTATCGCATTGTTACTTGTATGCAGAATGAATGGACCAGACAGGAATGGGAATGGTGGGGACATTGTAGGGACATATGATATGGTATACGGTTCGTTTTGCCCCGATACGTGTCTTCCCACTCTTGTTCTTCATTTGCTAACCACAGAGTTGCATAGGTGATAAGGAAACCTTTTGGATAGGCTGGGAACTCACTGGTGATACTTCCTATGCGTTCCACTCAGGCAACTGTGGAGTCATGGGCATAACCAAGCCATCTACCAAGCCCAACCCCACTAATCAACAGCCTGAACCGACGTTCATCGGGGGAATTGCAGTGGCCCCACCGGAAATAGGGCGCGAAATGGTGCCTGATCGTGAGCCCGACCTCACTATCTGTGCTCCCCAACTTCTTCATTTGGATCGTGAGCAACGCCCTTTATGGTTCAACGGCTGGTTATATGAGAACAAGTTTGCGAGTGAACGGGTTCTCGGAAAATTCGAGATGTATATGGAAGAGCAGAGTGGATCATTAGTTCCACCAGCCTGGGAACTAGAGGAGCACAATCTCTGCTGCTTGTCAAATTCCCCCGCAAAGAACTTTACAACTGAGGAGAGCGATTGGATCGATACGCTGATCGGGATAGCAAAGACGGTGGATAACTAGCACAGGGGAAGAATATATCCTGACTGCATTGACTATGCTCCAGTGTGCACGCAAACAAAAGGTATTAAGGACTGGGGTGACAAGTGTCAGCTCAAGAAGCATGGAAACAACCTTATGGCTTCGCAAAAAAGGATACACGACACCTCTTTCCTTTTTCCTCCTCCAACGCTCCTTCGCAACTATTATCCCGAGTCGACTTTTCAATCTTTCAAACCTCCTCCTCCACCGCCCTCCCTCAAAAATAGTGAGCAGAAAAATGCAAGGGGCGCTGCGATCAAGAAGGACAACGGGCAGCGGAAGAAGGCACGTCGTGCCCGCATTGATGTCATCTTAATTACCTAGTGGCACAGTAACATATGGTAAGGATCAATATGGTATCTCCATCATGATCGTTAAGCTGATATATTTGATAGACGATGCAAATCAAATCGCTGGTACACGGGCTTAAGTCATTCAAATTCCGAGAGGAACCGCCAAGGTTGGTATTCTGAATCTGTGTCCTTATTGGAAATCTACCCAGTTTAACATGCTCTATACTCTTAGAGACACCAGGACGAGCGAAACCCCCACACACATGTGAAGAAAGGAAGAGTATATACAGAATGTGAAGGATGGGCCTTTGGATGGAGGGGGGAAGGCTTGCAGTGCAATGAGACTTCTGTTTTGCTCTCCGCTTTCCTCCCATCCAATTATATATATATCAATATCTTAATGGACAAAGAATTTATCAAAAATTGTATAGACGAGTCTAAATACATACAGGCTGAACACACTTGGTTGATAACGCAAATGTACATACATGTATGTAAACTTATACATTTATCCATTGTGTCAAGATGAGATACGAAGTGTTTTATAGGAGTGCACCTGCCAATCGTCAGCGTATGGATGGATTGTGTGGGATTACCCTTACGAAAACATGAGATTAGTAGTAGAGCTTGTAGGTCTATAAAAAGAAAAGTTCGTCGACAACGTGCCTCGTACCCCGGATTCATCTGTAAATGGGAAGTAGTTATATCTAAAGTACCCTATAGCTCCGCACCTCATCTCGATCAACTTGGACCTGTGAGGAACTAAAAGAAAGAGACAAAAAGGTTTGTCAGTCAGCCTGCAGTCTTGTATGTAGATTGGAATGGTACCCGTGGACACTACCTGCCCTTCTAATAGGAGGGACTCTTTGGGGACAATATAATGATCCTTATAGTTCCATTTAGCCTACGTTTTGTTTATATTTTGGTCCAAAACGGGAAGGTGCAGTGTTTAAGCTGAAACGGGAAGGTGCCTATGGCACCCTGAGATTTTGGCAGAGTTGTTGCAAAAGAAAGGATTCGTCAACAACGTACTTAACAAAGGCCCGTAAACAGTAATGCAGGTGAGGATGCATGAACTGGCCTCGTAATAGGGAGAGCAAGGCCCGGGGAGGTAGATGGTAAATAGTGATGCTACATAGCTTATGATATTTCGGTTCAATGTTGCCCAGATGGTCTACTTGACCAAAGTTAAATGTAATATGCCAGAATCCTCCCTGGATGGCCGAGTGGGTGAGAGACATGAGGTCATCTGATTGCTGAGTGAAACAGTGAGCACGGGTGATACCGCATTGGGAAGCTCAGTGATGATGAAAGTGGTCAGGGTTTCGACCCCCACCACAAGTAATTGGGGCACGGATCATTTTTTTTTCTCTTCCTCATTTGTTCGTCTTATTTATATCTATGGATGGATCTTCCAACTTTGAGGGTTGTAGATCGAAGTGGATCCTTTAGTCCCGATTTGGTCTAGTGCCAGTTTAATTTGAGCCGCAATATTCTAACTTGGAATGTTAGGGATCGCCTCAACACTGACTACAGGCCAAAAGAATGTGCACTCTCAAGGAATAGGCAAATCTAAGGTTGCCTCATCCGTCCCTCTTTCAAATACATTTCTCCTTCTTTCACTCTTTCTCTTACTGACTTCTCACGAATTGATTTCTGGTCACCTATTACTTACTCTTCTACCACATTTCCCCTCTGCCTGCTTTTTATCCATTATTCGCTGCTGTATAATTTATTCTCTTTAATATGGATGATACCATTTATTTCCGCAAATTTTTTACGATCATTTGTCTACCTTTTCCTTATACCATCTACCTCAACCGCCTTCCTTCTTCCACCTTCGCTACTGGCATACTTTTATATAAATAGCCGTACAGATACAAGAGCTAGCAAGGCATCTAGACCAAGGGGGAAAAAGTTCTCAACACCTCACATTCTATTCTCCTCGTGCACTTGCTTTTAACATATCAAGAGCCCCCCAGCAGACAAATCGGATGTATGAGAGTGGAGAAACCTTGCAGACGTCTTTGGGCCTCGTTCATGAAGACTCTCAACACCATTATACGGAAATGGGAAATTTGGTCTCAACCAGCGGAAATCAAGATGGATATCCACCCCCTATATCTGATAAGGGGCTTTCACTCCCACACTACCTCCCATCTTTCGTACCCTCCCCTACCACCCTCAGCTTCAACATCCAGCTTCACCTATGGGGAGTGTTCTCAACTCTACCTTAACTTTCCCTTTTCACTCCGTTATCCCACTAACTTCGATTACCGAAAGTTCTTCATAGTCGCGATGGCTTTCATTACGGCCGCGGCTGGTGAGTGATGGCTTATCATAATATTTGTTTTCGTCTTATCCTCACTTCCGTATTCTGTTTACGCCTTGTCTATGCCGGACACAATGAGACCGGGTATATGGCAGGGTCATACTCTGGCATCCTACCCGAGTCGAGGGCTATTGACTTGATATCCACCACAAATGATAGCGAGATGTTCTTCGATACCGAAGAGCATTTTACTCTAGACAATGATGGGGATATTAAGATGGAAGACGTCTCCGGTATAGCCCCTATGCACGATGAAGCAGACCTCAAGGCAAAGCTACTGATTAGCATCGGCGTACTCGTCCCCGAAGGAATGAGGCGAAGGGTCGGTCCTTCATCTAGTCAAGGGTGTTTCAGAATAGATTAATGAGACTATGATGGATCATTCACTCAAATGTTCTTCACATGGACCACAAGCCAAACGCCAGAGGCAACCTCTGGGAATTATCGATTTCAATGCAGATAATATGTAATTTTATGAGGCAAAAGGCGAAATGTTCAAAATCAAGTGCTGAAAGGAAATCGCTGCGCAAAGCTCTCATCCATGCATAAGTTCGCTTGTAAAAAGAAGAAAAATCAAGGGACAAGTTAAAAAATTTAATAACACACGTTGGTCGGATGAATCCTATGTCCACACCTTAGAAGGACCAAACACAGAAAAGGGAATAGCGTGATGATCAAAGAACTCCCGATAAGACGGCTTCGGTGGCTGCATATCTGTTAGCTGTGTCCCATTAAAATGTGGACTAAGTGTTGACTTACCAGAATTGATGTATGGCCGCTTGGCGTCTAGGTTGACATCAAACCGCCTTTCAAGCTCCTGCTTAACAGTCTTCTTCGAGACCTTCATCAGGTCCGCAGTCGCCAAGATCTTGCGGATCTCCTCGAGAATCTCATCATCAGGAGGTAGATGGCTGAGGTCTTCCATACCAAAGTTGCTCATCATCTCAGACGGGGCGACTGAGTAACGAGTGCCACCACCTCCAAGAGGCAAATCGAGCTGCGAAACCGGGCGCGAGCTAGTATGATATCCATACTCGGACTGTGAGAAGGGAGGCAGTCTGGTACCATAGGAGTGTGCAGAGAATTCAGATCGGTCGTCGCGCGAAGTCTGGGATTCCCACAACTCTGCTTGGTAGTCTTCCCAAATTTTCTTGGGAATGGAGTCGGGGTCAAATTTGCCTTCGTCAGAGATGACAACCTTGCGACCTTTCTCTCCAGTGATGACACGCGTATTACCCCAGGAGAAGTCATCCATGTGCCAGAAAGAGTACAGTGGCAGAGCAAGTGAGAAGATGGGAATGGCCAGGAGGTATATCAACATCCAGCCAATCATTTCCCACTTGCGTCTAACAAGGAAGATCAAAGCCTGCAGTCCATAGATAACACCGAGAAGAATAAAAGAGGTGATGGGAAGCACATCTGGCTCAGTCACACACCAATAGATCAGGTAAGCGATATATGCAACTGTAACTGGCTGAATGACAGTCATAAGCAGATCGATGAGCACAATGAATCGCATACTGAAACAGCAGAAACCACACAGCTGTTGCAGCGGAATCAACTCCATCAAGTTGTGAACCGTAGAATTGATCCATCGGCGACGCTGGGAAAGGAAGACAGTGAAGCTTTCCGGTGCAACTGTCCAGGCATGACACCTGAAGATGTACTTTGTCTTAAACTTCGGGTGATGCTTGATGAGCAGTGTCGTCAAGTAGCGATCTTCACCAAGGTGCAGCAGATTCTTCATGTGGAGGGTATCGACCCGGATTTCCGAGTAGGCGTCGACCACACCCTTACTAACAAAGAGAGGGGTTCCATTCTCCGCTGTGCGGATACGATACATAGTGAAACAACCGGGCAAACAAGTGACTGATCCAAACAAACTTTCAAATGCCTTGGTCAGGTTGTGAGAGATGTAGTATTCATAAACCTGGATCATTGTGATAATAGAGGTCTTGGCGTTGGACAAAGACGTCTCTCCGCAACAGCCGATGAGACGCGTATCAGAAAGGAATGCCGAAACAAAACGTGTGGCAGCATCCGGTGCTACCATGGTATCAGCATCAACCTGTAGGATATACTCGTAGAATTGCGGATTGACGCCAATAATGTTCCGGATATGATGGTGCATCTCAAGTTCCATGGGGCTCATGGGCAAGTTGTAGTGGACACGGTTGAGGAAGCGCATGAGAACCATTTGGGAATCACGCTTTCCGCGGTTACCAGGACGAGACACTTCGGAAGGTTTGCCAACCTTTACAACGACCAGGAAAGGCACAATGTGACCCTGGACTTCGTAGAGACCAGAATAAAGCTTTGCCATGTTATGCTGCTTCATACCCTCGCCCAGACTCTCG